ATCTGAATTTTTTAAATTTTCTCTTCCTCAATGACTAAGTATGTAAATAACTCCCTCTTATGAGACTTTAAGTGAACTTTGATATCTTTCTCATATTGATTTCAAAGAACCATTGAATGAACATGGATGTACGTTAAAATAGTATTAAATCTTTGTTCCTTTAAAATAGATTTTTCAGTTGAGAGCTTTTAAAAACACAATACTTAAATAGTTTAAAAAGACAGCTTATGGGATACTGAAGTTGTAGTAATGCATCATCTAGTTCATTAGAATAGTTTCAGGTAGTTGTCTTATCTAATCTATGATTAAGGTTGTCTATTATTAACTTTTTGTTACAGGAAACTGTTATTTTATTAAACACACCCACTAAATTAAATTATCACTATGATTTTTAGGATATTAAACGTTCTTCGACATTGGGTTGATCACCATTATTATGATTTTGAGAGAGAACCACAACTCCTGCAAAAATTTCGAGACTTTTTGGGTAATGTGAAGGGTAAAAACATGAGAAAGTGGGTGGAATCTATTAACAAAGTTATTCAAAGAAGGGTATGTATGCATTCAGGTTATAAGCAAAGTTTAAAGTATAGAAAATTTTTATGCCAGGTATGATGCGTGTGAAAATTATTATGAAAATAATAATGTGTAATACATGTACAGTAATACTTTGGTTGCTGTTTATTTTCCTGATTTTTTAAAATTAAAGCATGTTAGTCAATGAAACAACAGTCAAATATCAGATGTATCATAAAATGTTTTGCAAATCAGTTACCTGATGTTAAGAATGTCAACAGTTGTTATAAAAGAGTATAATGTTTCAGCTATGATGAACAGTTTATTTTGTTTAAAGTTTATTCCAGAAATTAAGTGATCAGAAATTTTCTTAAGATTTAGAAGTGATTTATAAAAGTAAGAAGAAAAATATATTTGAGAATTGTGTAAGAAATGTCACGTCAAAGTTATACCTGAAATAAGTATTTTAAAGTGGTGAATAACTGTGGCATAGCATTATAAAACAGTATTATAAATAGTTAGACATTAGCTATTCTATAAAGAAAGTTTTTTACTAAATCATAAATGCCTTAAAACTGCAAGTTAGGAAATGAGCAGATGGACAATTTATATCTGGAAATTGACCAGTATTACAAGAGAACCTTTTTTTTAAGGAGTAAAACAATAATTGATGAATCAATGTTGATTTGAATTAAGTGTGATAAATAAGCTTTAGCATCATCTTCAATTACAGTTAAGTTTATGTAGTCAGCATATTAAATTTAATCGTGCAAAAGTAGAAACCCTTTTTGTTATTGTTGTAGTAATTAAAGTTCATGTTTGAAAAGTTTTTAAAAATTGCTTAGCATACATGTGTACAGGAAAATATTAGTTTTAAAATTGTAAGGTGTATTTTAAAGCTTGTCTGAATTTTTCAGAGTGAGTGTGTGGAAGAACCAAGAGAAATTATGTTTAGTTATGAGAAAAGTCCACCACAAGTAGAATGGCATATAAGTACAGCACCTGAAAAATTTGACCTTTTGACAGTGAGTCCATCTTTGTATCTGTCAATTTGAAAATTATGTATGTTGATCAAATTAAAAATTTCAAAGTTATTTTGGAAACATGTAACAGTATATGCAAGGTATAACAAAAAATCGTTTACACATTTCAAAACACTATAACATTTAAAGGAATAAAATTAAACATATATTGGTCAATGTACCATCAGGTTTTATACCGTCTACATGTGACTTTTATCAATCTCTTTGTACTTTTGCGTGCATTGTTTATCATTTGTTAAACACATTGATAAGCACAAGGTCTTAATTTGCATTGTTTCCCTTCTTTGATCTTTGTAATTAACATGCGTGGCTTGAACCATGTACTAAAAGTCCAGTGGCATTAGATCTGGAGAATATAGCACCCAGGGTTAAGATCCCCCACAGTGTTTTGTTAACAAAGATTCATATTTATAACCTCCATCATTTGACACTCAAGTATGCTGAAAACATAAATGGAAAATATCATTTTGGTGCAAAGAATATTTGAAGATGAAAAATAAATGAAAAAAGCCCTTTGTTGGAAACTAATATTCAATGTTTAAACCAAATATTAATAATTAAGTATCTAATAAAACTCCTAGTAATTATTTTCTTTTTTTCAGTAATTAAGGTTCTACGGGAATTAGTACATATTATCTTAATACGTTTTAATTTTGTTTAAAGTTTTGACTTTTATGTTTTTTAAAGTATATTGTGAAGGATAATATTGTTCCTCTTTCTACTTTTTTTTTTTAGCTACACCCTATAGAAATAGCTCGCCAGCTAACACTACTAGAATTTGACCTTTACCGGGCAGTTAAACCATCAGAATTGACTGGAAGCGTTTGGACAAAAAAAGACAAGCAGAAAACTTCTCCAAATCTCCTTAGAATGATCCATCATTCATCTAATGTGAGTCACATTAATATCCACTATCATGGCAGATAAAAAATAAATACATCAACCAGGGATTTAGATGTTCACCAAAACATTGTGGAATATGTGTTTTATGTCAATTTTTCTTTACATATAAAGACAAAAACTTTATATTTGCACAGTGACAAATGTGGCAGAAAAAATAGTTCAGATTCATGGTTTTGTGTCTATAGTTTTTTTCTGAATCAGAAATTGTAAGAATGGCATAATAACTAAAGTGATATAAAGTTTTATTTCTTAACATTTGATAAAAAAATCATTGCACATGAAGCTTGTTCATATTTCAAATCAGAATAACTGGTATTTGTTTAAATATTAACCTTTTAAGAATGTGTATCATTTTGTGCACATGTCAGGAGGTTTTTGTGAGTTACATTCAAAAACTATTTTCTTATCATGGTATATATAAATAAACTTGGCATAAAAATGTATCTAATTGACCAACATTGTATAGAGTTAGGGTAAAGAAAATAACAGGAAAAGTATATAGTTTTACTGAAAAATGACATTTTAGTATTATTTAGGAGGTTTTAGAGATTACATAAGTGAAACTTGAAATTTTTCAGATGAATCAAACTCTTTTTAATCTTAACATGAAAATCACTTTGCACTTGGGCTAGTAAACAAAACTACTCGATATATTCACAGACAAATCTTTATTAACAATAAGTAATTATAAAATCTAATTTTTTGTGAACAAAAATCTTTTAATATTTACTGAAAGTCTGCCAAATCTTGTGAAGATACATGCACTGTATTAAAAGTTATAGTATGGAAACTATAATGATTACAAAATGGTTATGAAAACAGTTGATTTGACAGAACCCATGTGCAAAGAGTTAAACATGTTTGAACATTGTAGTGTTAATATTTCCAATTTTGGCAAATGATATTTTTACTAAAGTTATTTTATTCAAACTGTATATAGTACTAGTCAAAAGTATCAATTAACAAAAAAAATCTTAATTTTAATGGAAGTTACATTGGAATTATGAAAAAATATTTGTGCAATAATTTTAAAATGTACATTAATTATAATGATTGTAACAACTTGGGTTGAGTGAAATATATATTTCTTATTCCACTAAAATTGCTGATAATTAATAATGTTCTTCATTTGGTGGACCAACAACATTTTTTTTTCTAACATTTCATTTCTTTAGTTTCTCTTATATTTTTAAACTTAAAATGTCATAAACATATTCCCATTAAAACATTTTTTAATTAAAAAGTGAAGACTCCACTGATTTATTGTTCCTAACAAGGAGAGGAAGAGTCAATGTTATATTGCAGTAACATTTAGCATTTCAAAAGATACGGTGCAATGGATGTTTGAAAATTTTGTTACAACAGGACAGTTTAAAGCAGATGCAAAGAAGGGTCATCTGGTTAGAACAATTTAAAGGATATCTATTTAAATTGCTTCCAAACTTTCCTTGAAATAAGTGATCAGATCCACAAAATTTCTATGAGTTACAGACCCATTCCTAGGAGACTTTATGGTTTTCGGCGAAAAGTAACAGCTTAAGTAGTCTGATATGTTACAGAAAAATATGGCAGAAAGACTGGACAGAGATCACTGGAACTGGACTGATGAATCTAACAAAGTTTTGTGGATTGATGAGACTAAAATCTAACTTTCTGGAAATTCAAGCAGTTTTTGTGAGAAAACTTAGTCACTAGATATTTAAGCAGGAATGTTAAGCAAGAAGATGGAGGCTTGATAATGGTTCTATGTTTCTGATGTTGGAGTCACAGTGAAAAATTGAGGGAGTTAAAATCATAAATAATATTCAACGTTAAACTGAGGATGATGTTGTAACATCGAAACATGTAGTCGTCAACTTTTGGAAGGCCATAGATAGGCCTAAATAAAATGTTTTTAATTGTGTTCCAGTTTAACGTTGAATATTATTTATGATTTTAACTTTATACACAAGTGCTAAAATACTATAATTGAGGGAGTTATAAGTTATAAAACATATTCTTGCAAGGAAAGCTAATTATAATAAGAGTTGTCTGTAATCCAACCTTTATATTTTAAAAATACAGAATAAAATGTAAGTGTACTTATAACTTTTAACAAACATTTTTTTTATACTTGTATTTTAGTGTTCTTAGTGAATAGAATTTAAAATTCTAGTTTAAGTTACATTAATTATTCAGATCTTAACAATGAATTAGCTTAGGTTACAAGTTTTAGTGATTTCATACTGCATAGTGATATAAAAAGTTTTTAAATTTAGTGCTTTAATGTGATTATTAACATGACCAAAAGGCAATTGATAACAAACTGAAATCATCATCAAATGAAGATAAAAACCTGCAAAAATAGCTCAAGTGTGTTTATTATGTAAGCTTATTATAAAGTTTTAACATTATGAATTATGTATTTGTAATATATCCTTCTGTGAAGCTTTTCTTCTTATCTTTTATTAGCTGAAGTTATTGATAGCTTCACTTACTGCATTTTAATTACATAAGTACTCAATTTTAATACATTTATTTACTTTACAGTTCAGTTTTTGGTTAGAGAAATGTATCATAGAGACTGAGAACTTTGAAGAACGAGTTGCAGTAGTCTCCAGAGTGTTAGAGATTATGATTGTGTTACAAGATTTAAACAACTTCACTGGAGTCCTGGAAATTGTCAGTGCCATGAACTCGGCCTGTGTCCATAGACTGGAACACACGCACAGTGTGAGTTATTACATTGTATCCATAATTACTACAATAATTCAATTAGTAATTATATTATACATAAGATACAAAAAGACCATATTGGTAGGTGTAAGAATTGTAAGTAAATATTAAAGTTAGACCACTCTCCACACTGGAAGATATAGGTATTGATTAGTAAATATTAAAGTAAGACCACTCTCCACACTGGAAGATATAGGTATTGATTAGTAAATATTAAAGTAAGACCACTCTTAACACTGGAAGATATAGGTATTGATTAGTAAATATTAAAGTAAGACCACTCTTAACACTGGAAGATATAGGTATTGTAAGTAAATATTAAAGTTAGACCACTCTCCACACTAAAAGATATAGGTATTGTAAGTAAATATTAAAGTAAGACCACTCTCCACACTGGAAGATATAGGTATTGTAAGTAAATATTAAAGTTAGACCACTCTCCACACTAGAAGATATAGGTATTGTAAGTAAATATTAAAGTAAGACCATTCTCCACACTAGAAGATATAGGTATTGTAAGTAAATATTAAAGTAAGACCATTCTCCACACTAGAAGATATAGGTATTGATTAGT